GCGGTTGGGCGGCCTTAGGCCCATCCTGGCCATCAGGGTGCTGGCCTTCGTGCAGGCGAGGCTTCGGAGAGGCACCGCGGCCGAGTGGGAGGCCAGGCCGCTGGCTCCAGGATGTGGCGATCGCCGCTGGCTTCCCCCTGTGGCAGCTCAAAATGCAGGCTCCGCTGCGCCGATCGCCAAGGGTGCTAAGCCTTGGGCACGACGCGCCCGAGCGCGTCGAGGCTCGGCGGCTGGTGCTCCCTGATGACGAGCTCGCGACCACGATCCCGGAGCTCATCCTCATCGGCCCGCTTGGCCGCCTCGTAGGGCAGCGCCCGGCGATCTCCATGGTGGCGGTCGCGGGTGACCTGGCGCTCCACCGCGTTGACGGCGCGTTGCGGGTGACTGCGGAGGCAGCCGACGCAGCCTTCAAGCTGAACGCGTTGCGATGCTGCAAGAGGTCGACCCCCACGCAGCGCCAACGATGTCGAGGGCGCTAGCAAATCACCCAGCCGTGAGGCGCGAGCTCGAGCGTCGTCTCCGGCGGCAGCTCGACGTCCAGTCGGTCAAGGGCGAGAGGAACCTCGGCGTCGACTCCTCGTATGGCAGGCGGATAGTGCGCAGGGCCAGACAGGACAAGTTGGCGTTGCCTGGGCTCCGCCTTCGCCGCGACGCCACACCGAAGACGGGCGCGCGCGACGTCGCGCCGCGCGCGAGGTGGCGAGATCGGGCCAGGAGGCGAGCGTTTCTTACGGTCGCTGTCACGGGCTGCGCCACGATGGAGCTCGAAAGACTAAGGTCGATGGTCTTCGCAGCAGTGGCCCCCGGCGCGGCAGGCAGCTGGAGGTCGCTCGCGCTCGCGCCGTTCCTCTACCCTATGATCCGCGCCGCGGCCCTGCCCGTCGTGGCCATGCTGCGGGCGGTTTGGGGGTAGTGCGCCCCCCGGCGCGTCGTCGAGTTCGGGGTGCTGCTGCGCCCCCCTTCCAGCTGGCGCCGCGTGCGCGGGCGCTTCTCGGCGGCGCGCCAGTCGCTCGAGCAGGGGGGCCTGGCCATGCCCGGAGGACGCGACAAGGGGGCATTCGGCGTTGCGCCGTGGATGCTGAAGCGGCTCTCGCGGCGAGCGGTCGAAGCCTTGCGGGGGGCCCAAGTCAGCCATCGCCTTGGGCTGGAACATCTCGAGAACAGTGGCGCGATTGCCCCCTTTGGCGAGGATGGCGAAATCGGGCGCGCTTGGGCGCAATGGCGCGTTTGACCGTCGTACTCGGGCGCGAGAAACCGCCGCCCAACGGAAGGAGCCGCCAAGTTTTGCTGAGCTTGGAATATCGGAACCTGCTGGCCAGCAGTCGGCGCCATCACGCGCGCTGCTCGGCATGCCAGAACCTGCTGATCAACGGTCGGCGTCGCTAGGTTCTGCTGCGCTCGAAATGGCAAAACCCGTTGGGCAGCGGTCCTTGTCTGTGGCTGCGGGGGCTGGCGCACTGGCGCGACTCGCGCCCTGGCCGGCGTCCGTCGTCGTCGACGGCCAGTGGTCGCAGAGCCGCCAGCGCGAGTGCGGCACGGCCCTCGACGACAAGTGCCTCCTCTGCGGCGAGGTGGGCACGTCCCTCTACTGCCGCTGGAATGGGCGGCACGGCGAGCTCAAGCTACCGAGCTAGTTGCGCAACCCTCTGATGAGAGCCAACCAGCCCGAAGTGGAGGCGCTGCTCGGGAAGGCGCCGCGGCCGTCGATGGCGGGACTTGCGATGCGAGCTCGGGCGCCGGAGGTTTGCTGGATGGGCCGGCACGAAGGCCAGTTGCCGTCTGGGGCGATGTTCCTGGGCGGCTCAGCGCGCCCAGGCGACTTCGGCAGGCGCGCGAGCGTCGGCTGGGCGGCCATTGCCTTGCCGGCCAACGCCGAGGAGCTCATCGTGGGCATCCTGGGCGCGGCGTGCGAGGCTTAGTGGGCATCGACAACGACGGGGAGCTCTTGGCGTTGCAGGCGGCGCCGCGGTTCACGCGGCATGTCGAAACGATGGTGGACAGCAGCTTCGCGCTCCATGACTTCGCGGAGCACGCGCGCGCCAGGACCACGAGCTTCGGCTACGCGCGGGCGCGCCCTTGGCTCGAGGTGCGGAGGCTCCTGGGCGGGTTCGGCGGGCTGCGCGATTCTGGCCTCGCGGTGCGGAAGGTGTTAGCTCGCCAGTATAGGTAGTCGGCCGCCGACGTCGGCCGCGTCGCGCGCGGGGATTGGCGCGGCAACCTGCTCGCTGACAAGGCCGCGAATAGCGCTGTTTCTCACGGTCGCTCACCGCCGGCTGCGAGACGGAAGCTCGCGCTCGGAAGCTCGCGACTGCCGGCCGCGAGATGGCCGAGGGCGTCGTGGATTTCGGCGGCGGGTGGCGCGCTGGGAGGGGGCGGCCCCGCGCGCAGAACTGCCGAGCCCAATGAGCCTGCGCCTGAGGCGGCCCGGGTGCAGGTGGCGGCCAAGTTGGGGCGCCAGCTGCGCGGCCCTTTGAACAGGCGGCGGCGCTCGCGCTACAGG